ACTACAGTCCACGAACACCTGCAGGAAACTTCAAACAATGAAGGCTACAGATCTCTTCAACCGCCATCTCCGTCTTAGTACTCAGAGATTTTCATCTCTTTACAACCTGAAGACTAAGATAGATTGGTCATTAAATTGGCTCAGTTTAAATTTCAGACTGGTTTGTTCCAGTCCAAACAGCAGTGTAAGAACTGCTATTTGACTACAGAAATAGGTAAGAGGGTAGAACCTACGTAGTCAGACTAAACAGTCTTACGACCAAGTAAATTAAAAGCTAAAGGTAGTCCTATATCAATTACGACATTATGTTATATCAGTTACGACGATTCATAATATATGTGTAAACTAGCCGATAATCGCTGGATTGGAGAATACCTGAACTGGAATATAATACTCACAGTAGTCTCCAGTGGCTTCATAAAATGTTTATTAAGCAAATCGGCATATCAAGTAGACGTCCTTTTAAGATAATATGATTACACATATTTCAAGTTTATTTCTTAAAGGGAAAACCATAGCAATCAATCAAAAATTTTTTTTGATACGCAGTATGTTTTAAATATGTACAGACTAAACGTGTAATAAACTTAATGTGTATGTACATACATATACTTGAAAACAGGCAGATATTTTCTCGTACAGGGTACGACAAAATATCTGCCTGTTTCTTTTTCTGTTGGTAACATAAATATGATCGTTAGTTTCCTTTAAAAGATATTTGTTTGCTGTTATGTATATGTTTCAATATTCAACATTTCAACAACATTTTACAATTTTCATATTTCGAACATCTTTTTAGTAAGTATGAATATATGAAAATAATATACAGCAAAAAGTCGTTGGATGCGAGTGGTTTAACACCGTGCTTTGTGTCACTACTTGGAGAGACCTATGTACAGCAGTAGACTTGTAAGGAGGGCTGTAATGCCGATGAAGATAATATATAAAAATCATTATTATTACTTATTTGATTCTATCTTAAAGATCTCTATCGGATTCAAGGATAAAAAAAAACATGTGTGTGTGTGTGTGTGTACTTATGTACGCAAGTAAGAAGCTATACTTCTTTAGCGTAATAACACAAAAATAATTAAAACCAAACACGTTTTATAGATTAATATATATTTGAATAACTACCTTAAATATAGTTATCAGTTCACACGAAAACTTGACAGTTGACAAACATTTACCAACTGATGTTTTCGCTTTTAGATTTCGGTGTGCGCGCGCATCGTAACACCTTCATGCTATCGTTATTAGGTGGCAGTGTGCGCGCGCATCGTAAAAAATTCACTCTCATAATTTTTCTCAGACGCGACAAAAGAAGTATAACTTCAAAAACTATACATAGTTAATATATGATTGAAAAATTTAGAAGCATCAAATTTAGGGTTTGATTTAGTAAACACATACAATAAAAACACGGAATATTTACTATCACATTATTTAATATCAAGTAAGTGTCAAAATACTGTAAAATATTAGCTATGAAACTGGCAACTTTAAAATATTTTACATAGCTATTATTAGTTTTACTTGGAATTCTGTTATCAATAAAAATAATATTTAATGCATATTGTTTTCTTTTCAAATTTTCAAAATTTGTTATCTAATTGTATATTTTAGTTATGAATTTTCTGCAATATTTATAACAATGAACTGAAAGAAATTTCGTGTAATTTTGGATGTGGAAACATTGCAGTCAATGACTATTTTACACTAATAACGATCCAACTGTCCGTTATTGGTTCAATCGCATTCGTTAGTATCATTCACTTTAGCTTCTGCCATCTGGTGCCACAGTTATTGCTGACTGTAACGATCATGAAGTAAATGAAAAAAAAAGCAAATGACGGTGGAGAAACTGGCACTCGAACAACACAAATTGGTGAACTACTTTTCATTACAACGCACGGCCACATCCTGTACAATAGAGGTTCGCAAAATTAGCAGAGCTAAAGCTAGAGACACTTCCTTATACACCATATTTTCTAGACCTTGTACTAACAGATTTTTACATTTTCCAAAGTTTAGACAGACCTCATGATGAGCTAAAAATTACCATTTCCATTACCAATCCCTCAAGATGCAGTTAAGAACGCCTTTGAAAAGTTCATGGATTAACGTACAGCAGACTTCAATAGCAAGGCCATAAACAAACTTCCAATAAAAGGGCAAGAATGTATTATTAACGGTACGTATGGCAATTCACAATACTGTGTTAGTCTCTTCTTTAATATATAGTAGTGAAAGTTGTGTGTGGCAGAAGAAGCACGAGAGTAGAATAAATGCTGTAGAAATGCGGTCATTAAGGTGTTTGTTACGGCTGAATCTGAAGGACAGAGTGAGAAATTTTGATATAAGAGAAATTTGTGGTTTGCAAGATGATGTTGTAACCAGGATTAAGAAAGGAATGCTTTGGTGGTTTGGTCATGTAGAAAGAATGAACGAGGAAAGAGTGACAAAGCAAATCTATGTTGCAGAAGTGAACGGCAGAGTCGCGAAAGGATGTCCTAGGCGAAATTTTGTCGACCGAATTGGCGATACATTGAAAATGGGTCAAATTAAGAGTACCCTTATCCGAAGAGCATGTATGTGTAGGTTTATGGATGTAAAGGAGGCGAAAGAGGTGTGTCAAGATCGTGCCATATGCAAGTCCATAGTCTCTTCCTATCCCTCTGGGTGACAGGTGTGAGTGTTTATGTATGTATTATGTATAATTAATAGTTTAGGAAAAAATATCATTGAGCAGTTAAAGTTTTTAGTAAAAAAAATTACATTTTTCCGTACAAAACGGCAATTTAATAGGTAGGTAGGTTTAATACCTGTTACACTGCTTACTGAAAGCATTATTACCTCCTTATTTTTAAAAGCATTCTAAATACTTTTTACATTAAAGAAAAGTTGCATTCAAGGAACTGTTATAAAACAAAAGCAAACCCGTAACATTGGTTCCTTATAAAGTAATGTCACAACAATATTACGTATAACAGCCACACATGTACAAAACCGTGTCGTCTAGTTTTTCAACAAATATATTCTAGGAAGCACTGACGAGAGAACGTAACGCTGTTACGTTGTGGAAATGCTTTTCCCTTGCCATTTTTAGTGATATCATTTGCTTTAAAAATAGAGTAAGGATCTAAATATTATATAAAAAAATGGCAGTACACAAATTTTTATCTATATTAAAACGTGAAGGCAAAACTTCGTACTCCATTTCAAGTATATTGCGCGCACGGAGGAGTGTGAGATTTGGTTAAAGTTAATACGTAAAAGGAATGCAGTCTACTAAAATTTATATTAATATACTACATACTAGGTGAACCCGGCGCGTTGCTATCACAGAAGAAATAACTTTGGAAATATTGTTTTCAAATATGGAATAGTAATAATGGTTAATTAGGAATGGTATTCATTAAAATTGAATGATATATATTATATGTTTTTTATTAATTTTTATATATTAGATATATGTTACAAATACCTTAAATTAAATTTAACATACTTATTATACGTTCATAATGTCGTTTGTTGATGTCCTTACTGCCAATATCTCAAAGTACAAGTATGTTATTATTCTAAGGCCAATGTCAAATACTTAATAGTCTGTGGTTAAACAGTCTCACAGAGTAAACGTCGCCAAAGAATTTTAAAATATTACTGACAAATGGACTGAATAAGCTACGAATTCCGTGCAATTTAAATTCGCAGCTTATTTAGTCAATTTGTTTATATTTTCATATTTCAATTTGGAGTAGGTATATATCAGGTCAAGAAAGTTTCTTTTATATATTGTATACAGGGTTCAAATTTTAAGCTTAAGTTCAAATATATAAGTAATGATATACCGTTGTTGCAGTTTTTGAAAATACTAGTAAATAGGCTTCTACTTTTATTTGAAACTATCCCAAATTGAATGTGATATATGGGCAACAATATTTTTGACTACAGATCGATCCTTACAAATTTGTGCGTGAGCAGTAAAATCATAAACATAAAAAGGACTGAATGTTTGAGATATTTTTAAATTAAGTTTTCTTCACCATTTGCCTATATTACTTATTATGAACCTTCTCTGCAAATTTAGCTGGTAATTGCAAAATAACCCTGTATATTTAAGTGCAGTTGAAAGTGAAATAAAGATTGTTTTACGTGGTAGAGCCACGCTGCAGCTATATTAGTAGTATAGTTGTAGCACGAATGGGTCGGCTCGACCGGGGAAGGACCACGCTCTCACAGAATACCAGCGTAAATAGCAGCTTAATGCTGCTGTGTTTCGTATGGTGAGTGTAGAGAACTGGAGATCATTTTTACTGGAAAACAGGCATTCTATCTTAGTCCTTACGGCTGACAACGCATCTGCATTTTAATTCGCAAACGAAGATAGATGTAGATGTCTATGGGCCACAGCAACCACTTACTATCAGGTGGACTGTGTGCTCGTTTGTCACCCTTATTCTATAAAAAAAATGCAAAAACCAAAAATTTTATGAATTACGGTCGAGTACGCGACGAAAAAAGGAATAAGTATGAACTATGTATTGTAACGTATTATAATTAACAAGTGACGTTATTCATTAAATTTCTTCTTCAACTTTAATGTTATCTTTTAAATACAACAAAAATATAATATATAATGTTAATACAATTAAATACTAACATAACTTACAGTTATATATTACTTCCCAATTTTAATGTTAATAACACAACGTTTAATATAAAATAACACAATGAAACTCAGACGTAACATTTTACACTCTATTAAATACCTATTACAATTAACATCTGCTTAGGTCCATTATTTTAGTACGACTAATTAAATCCATTACAACGTAAACTGTTTAGTAATGTAGAAGTACAAGAAGCGAAGAAACTACGTCCTCAATCGATGCAAGACGTCTCTAGGTACCGTGACGGTGGCAGGAGCTTACACAACATCGGTACATATTAAAGAGCTGCGCCGGTGCATACGGCACAGACGCACGCCACTCGTCAAAATGATCCATCACGTCGCTGTGAGTAGCATTATTTTCCATAAATATATTTTTACTAGAAGAAAATCAAAAAGAGTGATAATTAAGTGTTGCAGTAATAATTTAAAATAAAAATTTTTGTACAACCGACTTCAACATAAATTATTAAGAATAACTCAAAAACTATTGGAACTATTGGTCCTTAATCAAATTTATATGGGACCACATGAGACGCACCAGCTTTCAAATAAAAAAATTAATAATCGAAATCGTTTCACCTAGAAAAAAGTTATGAGGTTACGCACATAAAAAAACATATAGTCGAATTGAGTCCTTTTTAAAGTCGGTAGAAAAGAGGTTCATATCTATTTCTATATCAAAAATAATTTCACTATCTTGCTATAAGTTTTAAAATAATATATTTAATGGCATATAATATAATATAATATGAAATTGTGTAATGATTAATTAATAATTTAAATACATTTTATTTTGCATGTAAAATTTTATTTTTCTGGCAGTAATTATATGGCATGCGTACGATATCGCACAATTTAATAATGCATATAAATACGATTAATTCGTAATAAGTAACTTATTTAAGTAATAAGTACCTAATAATTAATAAGTGATAATTAATAATTATTCCCTTTTTTACTGACAACGAGGCGTTTCATCTTAGTCTTTAAGAGTGATTAGGCATCTGCAATTTAACTTTTGATCAACGATAAATGTAGTCGTCTAGGTACCGCATCATCCTCTATCGTAGTCGGTAGAAGTCAACGATAAATTCCGATACCTTCCATGCAAGTGCCATTTATAAGAATTAAAATACTCGAGTCGATGAAGGGAACCAACAACTTTGGCAAATGCTCAGGGCATAAACTCCGTTCAAGCAGTGTATTCTAATGGGATGATGAAGTGGCAAAACCAGTAAACTGTTTTCGCCTCTCGGGTGCGTACTAAACCATTTTCTTAAACAATTATTATATCCAATAAAGATGATGCTAAATGAAGTACAAAAGCTCATAGTGATGATAAGTACGTAAATAAAACTGAAACATACGTAACTTATTAGGAGTGCAGCGGCTGTAAGAGAGGCCTTACTAACTGTTTCCTTCAAAATTTAATTAAAAAAACACCTATAAAGATGCTAGTAATGTATTACAAAAAATTCCCTGACATTACTCAAAGAATTTTTAATAATTAAATATAAATAATTTTAATTCTGTTCTTTTTCAGTTTGCATTCGCCTTAGTTTTAGCCAGCCATTTGTGCTTGGCAACGCCTGTGGCTAATCCAGATCCATTTGGTACCCACCGGACACAGTAAGTATTTTAGAATCATAAATGAAAATACAATTGTATTTGCCTTGTATTTGTTAGGGTTCCGTGCCCAAAGCCTAAACCAACGGGACCCTATTACTAAGCCCTAAGCCTCCGCTATCCGTCCGTCCGTCCTTCTGTCAGAGGCCTGTATCTCATAATCCATAGTAGGTAGACATTTGAAATTTTCACAAAATGTGTATTTCTGTTGCCGGTATAACAACAAATAATAAAAATAAAAATAAATAAATAAATTGAAGGGTACCACCCTACTAGAAAGGTGTATTACGACGGTGCGGAACTCACCATGGTTTCATTTTGTCCGACTCGCACTTAGCCGGCCTTTTTCTATACTACAGTCAAGTAAAGTCGAGCAGTGCACATTTAATGGATTGTCATGATGATGGACATAATTAAACCAATGTTTTTATTTACGTCAATTTATTAATGTTTAGTGTAAATTATCCACTATCCTGTATCAAGTCGGGAGTGTCGTAAGGAACGCCAGAGGAAAACTAAAACAGTATAATATGGGCGACAGCATCTTCCTGATCAAAAATTATAAAAAAAAAACTGGAGCTGCCAACCAACCTGCAAAGTGTGAACTATGGCAGAATCCTCCCTATACTCTTATGTCATTATATATTTTAACTCGTGTTATATAATTTTTACTTTGCGATGACAAAGTTTTCTTTCTTTCTTTATTGCTTTCTTTAGGCTTATCTTTAGTACACTTATGATAGGCTATAATTAATTAATGAAATGACGATGGCGACAATTAAATCAATGGTTTAATATCAAGTGGTTGGATAATTCATTAATATTTCAATATACATTTGTAATCCCATTGGAATAGCTCAATGTGTACTCTGTACGTACAATAATATAAACAGTAACGTTATATATCTTCATAATTTACGTCCTCCAACGTCACGTGCTATAATGGAAACCGAACACAGAATCGATATTAAAGATAACTTACCTCAGGGACAACAATATTCGATAAGGTACCATCACGTCATTTATCTCATTCACAGCATATATATTTCATGTTTTACTGTTTATCAATTTACTCACCTTCTTTGATTTTTATTGTACTTTCTTATAATAATAATAATAATAGGAATAAAATTATATATATATATCTAGAAATCATAACGGGCACGCAATCGAATTATATTGTATTTTTATTAGAAATAATATATTTGTAGCTAGCTAGCGACCTGCCCAGGCTTCACCTGGGTAATTTTAGATTTCTCAATAAAATATCTTCTCAATTTTTGCATAAAATATAGCCTACCACTCTCTATCTGTTCGTCAAGTTTCATTACAATCCTTTCAGTTATTCTGTAGATTGGCTCGGCCAGACAGACAGACAAAAATTTTAAAGTTGTTATTTATGTTAATTGCATGCAAGTAACACCCTTGGCTTAATAAAATGCAGGTTTTCCGAAATTACAGACAGGTACTCAATACAAAACAGGTGGGTAATTTTATTTATACCTATGTGTAGTTGTATAGATAGGTCAAGAAGCGTTTTTACATTACATATTCCTGGTTCTGCTCCGAATATTTTTATTTATTATTTAACTGATACGTAATTAAAAAATCCCCTTTGTTTCAGTATTCGCGTTCACTTACCCTATGAGATCCACACCCAGCACCATCACCACATCGAGAAAGTTCCTGTTATTAAGGAAGTGCCGGTCATTAAGGAAGTGCCCGTTTTAAAAGAAGTACCAATTATCAAGACCGTACCCGTATATAACACAGTTCACGTACCTGTATTTAATACCGTAGCCGTCGAGAAGCCGGTGTTTGTACCAATCCACGTTAAAGATCACCACTGGCACTAGGCTGGTATTAAAGTATATATTGTATATCTTCGATCGCAGAGGGACTAATAAAATTAGACCAATTTGGTATGAAAGTGTAAATTACCGGAAAAGGTAGAACGAAGAGATCTCTTAATGTAAGCGACGTTAATAAGATGGAGATTGAAATTAATGATAAAACTTAATTATCTTTCTAATTCCATTTCATTCACATAAAACGAAGTAAGTCCGTAGCGATTGAAAATGTAATTTTTAGACCATTAGATAATAATTGTTTACTTACTAAATGAAGACACTTTGCACATAGCAAAAAAGATAATATAAACCCCAATTACTGTTAACACAAGTCGCGGCACGTAAGTCTAACGCTGAATGAAACGTGGAAGGGACGTGCACGAATTGAATTGCTCGAATGCCACTGGAGAGCCAATCAGCGCGTGCGAACGATACGCTCGTGGCTCGTGCGTGCGCTACTTATGCGCAATAAGCCAATCAGAGCGACTTATGTGCAACAACGGCCGCCACTAGACTTTCGTGCCGCTACTTATAACCAAATACTCGAATATAGCCAAGCATACCTAGTCTATTTTGGTGTTGAATTAAATGTTTTAGAATATAATAATTACAACCTATTATGTACCTGAATTGAACTATTATAATCAAGTAACGCGAATAAAACGTTATCTAAATAAAATAGTAAAACAAAAGTTTATATGTCAAAACATGTTCATAAAAAAGTTGAAATATTGTCAAAGTTCTGTGATAAATCCTTGAAATATACTGGGTTTTACTGATAACCTCCTTATTTATTTGATTTCACCTAACTAGAGTGAAGGATGTGACAACTATGATACCCTATGATTAACTTATATCATCACTGTTATAAAAATCGCAGGAAAGTATTTAATAGAGCTTTTCCTTAGTTAAAATATTACTAGAGGAAAGGTACCAATTATGGAATACGTTCCTAATATGGAATACCGTAATATTTATAAAACTAAGCACCACAAATATTCCAAACTTGTGCCATGTTACTCCTCCCGCTACCCACGTTCAACGGCCAGGGTGCGTGCGGCGTTCGGCAGCAATACACGCAAATGAGAGTGCGGGACACTGTTGGCGCAACATCAATCGGATATTTAGGTAAGTTTTACGTATATATTTCTTATTGTTCGTACATGAATATCTCAAAATAAGTTGATATGTATCTGAACAAAGTATGTAGTTTTTTAATGATATTGTTATTTTACGAATTTTTTAAAATATTAAAAAGTTACATTTATTTTCCTCTCGCCATCATATTGTTCGTAATATGGAATACCGTTGAGGTCCTAATATGGAATAGTATCTATATTAGAACCTCAACGAAAGTAAGTTTTTAATATAGTGTCTGATTACTATTTCTGTCTTTTACAGATATAATTGTGATCAAACTGACCCCACCAGCATGAAAAATGCTATTAAAGCCGTGAAAACCAAAAAAATGGGTTATAAGAAAGCTGCACAGGTTTTTAATGTACCTCGGACTACCCTCTTTCGGTTCTGTCATGATATGAACCAAATATAGACTACCGCCTTGGTCGTAAAACAGTTTTGGGACCTGATTGAACATATTATGTTAGTACGAGTACAGTATGTCAAGCAAATGAAAAATAAAACGGTATTTTGGGCTTACACGAAATGATGTGAAGAGAATGGCATATCAGTTGGCGGTAAAAATAATTTAAAACTTCCTTTTAATAATAGAACAGCTGGACGTAAATGGTCAAAAGGGTTTTCTTCGAGGCATAAAGAACTTTCCCCGGTCCAACCTACTGGTACATCATTTTTTCATCATCATTTGCTCGGGTTAAAGGCTTCACGAAAGAAAATGTTAAATTGTTCTTCGATTTACTGGAAAAGGAATTTGGGCTTTTTAAATTTCCACCAACTAGGATCTACAACGTCGACGAGACTGGGCTTAGCATTGTTCAATCGAAGACACCCAAGGGTTTAGCTTGCAGGGTTAATTTTATTATTTTCTTTTGCTTAACGAGACTTGACCCTATTATGGAATACCCTATTCCATAATAGGGTCACATTTTTGAGAAGCATATTTTTTGTTGATTTATTTTAGTTATTAATATTACGGAAAGTGTTTATGATTTACTGATTTAAATATTATTTTAAGAGAGTGATAATGACTACATTTAATTGTAATCAATGAGACTGATTAAAATAAAACATTTGTACTGATTTTTTTGAAAATTTGTTTAAGTATTCCATATTCGGTCCTTTTCCTCTATATCTAATAGTTTCGTGTCCTTTTTCATTTCTCCAATTAGTACACAATTTCAATTTACTGATTAATTTAAATGGACGCTTGTTTTGGGCACAAAAGTTTTTTTTTTTTTTATAGGAGAGGGGGCAAACGAGCATGCGGCTCACCTGATGGTAAGTGACTACCGCCGCCCATGAACAACCGCAACACCAGGGGAATTGCAGATGCGTTGCCGGCCTTTTAAAAAGGAGTTTAACATTAGTATAAATAAAAACTACTGGTAAATCTATTTGTTCCTTAAGCGCATTAAAAAAATTACGTGTAACATGATTATACCTAATTTTTAAATACAAACATAAAGTAGTTTAAATACACTCAAGTTTTCACTAATAACCTTATTACTTAATTATACTTCCAATGTTCATATAATTTTGTCAAACTTCAATTAAAAAAAAGTTTGGAAAATCCAAAAAATGCACGACTCATAATGTTCATGTAATAGTGAAAAAATTTAAAAAAATGTAAATTGTAGTTCTATTCGTTAAAGAGTTCCAGTAGCAGTCACCGAAGTACACTTTCAAGTCACTCCGTCAAGTCCGGAGGTAAGGTCTATTCATAACTAACAAAACGAGCCCAAACTCGGCACATCTAGTTTTCCTCATCGAAGAGTTCCAGTAACAGTCGTCAAAGTTCACCTGCAAGTCACTCTATCAAGTCCGGAGGTAAGGTCTCATCATAACTAACAAAACGAGGAACAACTGTTGTTACACCTAGTTCTACTCTTCGAGAAGTTCCAGTAGCATTCACCGAAGTACACCTCCAAGTCGGAGTAAGGTCTCATCTTAACTAACATAACGAGCACAATCTCGGCACACCTAGTTCTACTCGTGGAGGAATTCCAGTAGCAGTATATTACGATGATAATAATAATAAAAAAAACACTGTCTGTATAGCGACAGTACTTGGCCTTTGAGCGAGAAAAGATTTAGATTTATTCAAATTGAAAATTCATTTTCAATTTGAATAAATCTGCTACAAGAAACTAAAAAGATTCGCTGTCAACTGTCATAAAAGTTATACCACTAAACATTATGGTAGTACTAAGCTATACAACTAGCTCCTAATAAACTTTATGTTTATAAAACGGATCATAACTTTAAAAGCTTTTATATGCTAACGCCATTAAATAAATAGCGACACAAAATATACCCGTAATAAAACTATTTATCAGCAAAGACCAGGTAAGTATTTCTTTTAATTTGTAATTTCTACAAAGAAAATATTGTATTTGCTTTATGGCCCCTGTACAGTACTCGCGAAGTTGATCGAAGTTAGGGAATAGTGTAGAGGTACTTTGATTCGCTTCGTACAACCTCGCTTCGCCTCGGGCGACTTCCTACTTTCGCTGTCGGTTTCTTACACCCGGTCGAAGGACTTCGCGAGGTGTCCCGAAGTTACACGAAGCGTCTCACTACACTACTAGACGTAAGGCGTACACTACACTAATTACCACATTGACGTCGTACTGTTAATACTTAATACGTGGGTGCGCTCACGATAAGGCACCTGCAGCAGCTGCCTCTTGAACGTTATTTATGCTATTAGGGTGCGGGCGACTCAAGCCGACTGAGCTGTTCGCAAAGTAGCACTAGTGTGTAGTCACGTTCTTCGGACTGCGATTGACTTTGACGAGCACTTCATCGAAGTAATTTCGCGAGTAGTGTAGAGGAAGAATTTTTCCCCTCCCTCTCCGTATTGGAGCGTTTTATTTACACAAATCACCAGTAGAAACACCTAGACCTAAAATAAGAAATGGCCGGCCTTGAGGACAATAGCCATCTGCACAGGAATCCTGTCCTGTCTCCATAAAGTGCAAAAGTGTATCCTTTTAAGCACAAGTTCACTCTCTATTCCCACACTGTCATTAGTCCGATGAGACGGCAATTCGACATGATCGGATTGATGTCAGGCGCAGGACCAACTGCTTCACTTGCTTTCCAAGTCACGGGGCTGAAACACCGATAACTTCCAAAGGAACTTCTTGACAGAATAACCAATAACCGATTTTGGTCCGTCTCAGAATTCAAACCAAGGACCATATAGTCAGAAGTCGCTTACGACAACTAGGCAGACGAGGCAGTCAAGGCAGAAGGTATTATATCAAAGATGTATTATAGGACATAAAACATCTTTGATTATAATACTTTATAAAGTATCTATATTATATATTACTAGTTACTTTTGCGTCTTAAAATTGAAACCTATACTGAAATAACACTCCAATATAAATTATTAAGATTAACTCAAAAACTATTGGTCAGACCTTGATCAATTTATATGGGACCACATGTGAAGCACCAGCTTTCAAATAAAAAAAGAATCATTGAAATCGGTTCACCCAGTAAAAAGTGATAAGGTAACACACATAAAAAAAACATACAGTCGAGCACCGTCTCCTTTTTGAAGTCGGTAGAAAATGTAATATCATTTTATAAATATAGATCACTCTAGTTTTAATCACATTTTTCCACCGCAGTTACCACAGTTTCATCCGCCAATCCCATCCATCAATTAGTTGGATTGGCGGACGAGGCTATGGCTATTCTGCCCACACCTTCAAATTTTCCAAGTAATGCATGCCAACTGGCAGAATCCTAGAAAGGCCTATGCCCAACAATGAACTTAAAAAGAATGATGACAACGACTCCCAACTTTATACAAACAGGGTCAGATTCTGGAATGTTTTCAATCCGGGAATAAC